CTGGGCACCTGCTCCCCCGTCCTGTCACCAACTCGGACCGCTTTCGTTTCGTTCCGTCGGGGTTCCTAATCTTTCCAGGCACATGGCCGCTTTGCCTCAGCTATGGCCCTTTTGGGAAAACGCACGTTATTAGAAACTCCAGGATCTGCGACTCGCTTGAGAGGGAAGGTGCTAATCCTATGTTAGGGCTGCTGGATTTGGGGTACAGACTGGGCTCTTCCACCTTCTTCGTGTGTGACCTTGCTTGTTGCAGTCGCTCCGGACCTTAGTTTCCCCACCTGGGAAAATGAGGGTAATGTTGCAGGTGGAGTTTGTTCTCCTCCGTTCTTGTTCCCCTGGAGAATTGAAAGGCAGAGACACAATAGTGAAGTAGAGCAAATATTTTTTTTGAATACACTCCAAAGGATGTGCCAGAGTCAAGGTGGAATGGCCTCTATCCATCCCTTAGGCTGGAGACCTTTATATTACTTTCTGGGTAGGCGGCACCTCTGTGACTGACAAGGTGCCGGGCGGGTCACTTCATTGGCAGGTCCATCTATAGCCATCCCTTTCAGTGCGCATGTCCTTTCTCAGGAAGCAGTGTGGTTTGGCAGTTCTTAGTTTTGTTTGCTAGAGCTCGTGCTGGGAACTGGTTTGGCCTGGTCCCACTAGGCAAGAAAGTTATCACTCTGCAAAGCCTTTGTTATCTTCAGGCGGCACCCATCTGTGCAGAGTGTGGATGGTTCTTTCCTTGAACCTTATCTTCCCTTTCCCCAGCTGCTCATGTCTATCATTCTACCTAACAATAAGTTGGCCAGGCCAGGATCCTTCACCTCTGCTTTTGCATGAATTCGTGGAGAAGGTTCATCCTCTGTCAGTCAGCTCAGGGAGTCCCTGTGCCCGGGGACCTCTACTCCTGCACAGCCCAAAGGTCTGGCCATCAAAGCTGAGGCCAATAATGTGGGGGCTTCTAAAAATAATGGGTAAAATTCAGCATAGCTCTGACCCTCTGACCCTATTCATGTCCAATAGGATAGGTTAATAGCACCAGGATAACATACCGTTTCCCCAGCCCTGGAGTGAGTCATCTCTCTGACCTAGTTGATGCTGTCTCCAGGGCCAGGACTAGCCTGGAGTGAAGAGACTGATAATTTTTTTAGGGTTTCAGGAAGCAACCTGATATGTCCTGCATACCCCCTGTATGTGAGGATTGTGCTAGGTGCTTTACAACAACAGGGATCACACACAAGCCCCTCAGCACTCCTGGGAACAAACAACTTGTTAGGAGCAGCTGTGTACTAGCCCCTGATAATGGCTCAGGACCACTGTATTTTTCATACAGCACTTAAAACCCAATAGTAGGTTATGAAATGAAGTTAGTAGATGATGTGGTTAGTATTTCAAAAATAGAAGAGAAAATATCAGTGTATCACACACATTGTCAATGTAAGTTGTGTTTTATAAAACTTCTGTTTGCATTATTTATGTTTCAGTTATATGTATTAGACTGTGATATAAAATATGTTTCTCTGTGGATCATGGGAAAAAGTTTAAAAGCTATTGTTTAAGTCAATCTTGACAATTCTTTTCATGGCTCTCCCAGGTTCTTTTGACTCACTTCTGGGCAAGGAGACAGGGAAAAGTGAGCTGGGAGAGAAGGGATTTGAGGGAGGATGAAGAAGATTTTTGCTTTCTTGGCAGAAGGAACAGATATTCCTCCCCCCTGCTTTTCTGTCTCAAGTGTGAATATAATGTGTGATATCTGGAGCTTTGGCAGCAATTTTGAGATTGTGATAAACAGCTGATGGAGAATAAAGATAAAAGGAGTCTGGATCTTTATTAGCATCACAGAGCTGCTGCACCTTGCCTGTCCTGCATACTCTACACTTCTTGCCATGGAGAAATGTTGTTCAAGCCAGAGTTGGTAAGTCTTCTATAAAGGACCAGATAATGAATATTTTAGGCTTTGCGGGCCAAACTGTCTGGGTTCCAACTACTTAGCTCTGCTGTTGTAGCTTAAAAGCATCCATAGACAACATGTAACACAAAGGGCATGGCTGTGATTTCAGTAAAACTGTTTATAAAAACAGGTGGCAAACCACATGTGATCCATGGGCTGTAGTTTGCTCTAGATGATCTTGTCTCCTTTATCACCCCTCTGACCTCATCTCCTACTACCCCTCCTTCTTTCTGCTTTGGTCATACTTTTCCTCATACCAGGCCACTCCTCCTCAGGTCCTTTGCAATTCTGTTCCCTCAGCCTGGAAGACTCTTCTCCCAGGTATCTGCAGGATTATCACCTTCAGCTCCTTCAGGTCTTCACTCAAAAATTGCTTCATCTTGAGGTCTTCCTTTTGCCCGCAACTAAAATGGTGCACATGTTTTACTCTGGCACGCTATATATCTTACTTCTTTATCATGAGCTCCTTGAGGGAGGAAGACTGTCTCAGAGATATCAACTGTTCGGAATGTCACAATGTTTAATCAATATCTGGTATATAATTGATTTTTTTCCTTTCTGCCAGAATCAGGTAAAAAAACAGACTCAGGAAGGCTCAATACCCCATCCAAGGGGACACAGTAAGTAGAGTGGTAGAATCTGGGTTTGCATCTTGGTGGCACTGGGAGGTCATATGTGCCTCCAGAGTGTGAAGATTGAACACCATCTACTTCTGTTGGAAGATCAAACCTCAGGGAAGTTGAGGCCACACAGAAATTCCTACAAGATGTTTTGCCCTGGGGTATCACTGCAGTAAAGGAGGCCTTTGGGAGCCCATTTAGGGAATAGGGCATTATCCTGTTCATCTTGGGCAGTCTCACTTTTTATAGTATCCTTATATCAGGAAGTCTTTAGAAAAGTCATTGTTTTATGAACAGTCCAGTCTGACTTCTAAGATCCATAAGAAAACCAAGTGGAAACACCCACGATTCAACATTTTTAGTCAAAGAGTCAAAACAATGAATTCATATTTGCTGTTCAAGCTGGGAAACACGAAGGAGCCTAGAGTCTGGTGAAGCATATGTGACCTCATGCAGTCAGATAAAGCTGCTGTTGGGGCGGGTGTTCGGCTAAACTTTTGCTCGAGCCTTCTTGACTCCCGGGCACTGTCCCAAGAAGAAATTGCCTTCTTCCCTCTGGTGCTTTGACAGGCCAGTGGGGAAAACGCCTTGGTATAATCACATATTGTGAAGATGCAATGAAAGTTCTCTGAGTTTTGAAGAACAGGTTTATGTATTTTAACATGAAAAATATTAATAATGCCCATTTGCATGGTCATTCCCTTAAAATGGTAATGGGGAGTTTGAATTAAAATTACTGGTTATTTGCCTAAGAACTTTTATGGATGATTTTGTATGATTTTTTTTCTTTCACTGTTGCCAGTGTAAGATTCAGAGCAAGTGAGATTTAGAGCAATTTTTCAAAACGTCTGTGTGATCCCAATTACATATTCTTTAGAAAACAATTGGATGCTTGCACTTGATGGTCGGTAAGATCCAGCTTAAACCAGGCAAGTTTTCCTTTGCCCTCAATGGGCTCCATGTTATCAAAGCCCCCAGCAGAAAGAGGCCACTTCTAGCATGCTTCTGGCACCATGTACTTGGGTGGAATCCCTGGGTGGTGAGGTCATCCCATTGCATGGTCCTAACATACAAAATTTGCCATCTGTTTCCAGATGCTTTCTCAGATGAAGTCATCTGCATACATCTACCTTTCTTCTGTAGGTGAAATGGTTTTCATTAACTTCACTTGTTAGCTTATAAATAATAACTTCAGTTTAATAAATGGAGCTCTTCAACCCAAACCAGAGGCAAGACTGGAAATGAGAATTTATTCTCCAGAAGAACATGAATTTTGACAATGAATGCTGCCTAAGTGCCTTCTCAGTACACACACACACTCTTTGTGTGTTATTTATCCTTATGGTTATGCCTTGGCAAGGCTTCTGTACCCACACTGCAGAGCGAACATGTGCTTAGGTACAGGGTTTCTCAGGAGGGGCAGAGCTTGATTTAGAAGGTGAGAGCGAAAAGTTGGTGCTAAAACTTCCTTTTGAAGAAAAATAGCTGCTTAGCTCAAGCCCTTTCTCCACCCAGTCTTGAGGAAAGGGTGTGCCAGTCCCCAGGTCTGCTCCCAAGATGCACTGGACCAGGACGGCATGAACATCTACCGGCAGAGAATGAAACTGACCTGGTTTGTGGATGAGTCTAAGGTCTTTCTTCACCTTCTGCTCCCTATTTGCCTGCCACTGGACAGCTTTACTTTAATATGCATTTTATATTTATATTTATTTATATTATTTTTATATGTTTGTTTTGGTTCACACTACATACAAATTAGAGGCTGCAGAGGGACAGCTCTCCACTTCCTTAGGCTTCTGCTGCCTTCCCGAGCCCCCCTCAGAACTCTGTCACCTTCTCACCCACCCACACATCCTACACCCTCCCCTCCTACTCAGGCTCTGTTCCTGGAGGAGGGGGCTACCTGGAACTGCTAGAAAGTCAGTTATTACGAATGGACACTGTAATGGCCATGAGTTGATAATCTTAAAAATACAATAAAAATACTGTATCAACACAAGATAACTGAAGAAACTGCATTATCAGTGTAACTATAATTTTAATAATATAAAATGACTTTGTTGTTCAATATTTTGATTCACTTAGCAAGACTGTTTTCTGGACATGGCATGAAACAGCACAAGGGCAGGAGGATTTCCAGAAGGACCATGCTTCTCCAAGTGGAATGTCTTCATTGAAGATTTCCCTCTACAAAGAGCCTGTTTTTGTTGGGAGCCAGAAGAGCAAGACAGTGAGATTTAAGACTGTGAACTAATAAGCCAGTAGGACCTCCCCTGGAGCCAGGATATTAAAGAGCCAAAGGAAGTGGAAGCCTTTCCGATGGAAGAGAAGAATCTGGAGTCGACACAGAGCATTTGCACGGACAAGGGTTGTGTGTCCAACTCCTGGGCTGTGAATGCAAGGGCAGCCTCAGGGCGATCGGGGGAGATTTGCCAGGCAGAATATGTGGCTGCTGCTGTGTCCAGAGGAAGAGCAGCCCCCTCTATCTCTTCTTCCAAGCCTGCAGTTCCGGAGGAATGTGAAGCATTCCCAATGGGTCTCTGGCAAACTGGCTAGACTTGACCTGTTAACCTTGTGTTTAAAAACACATCTTAGCTGAGTTGACCTCACCTGAGAACCTGCCCTCAAAGCCACTTCTGTTTAGCCCCTCGTGTGACAGGGCCTGCCCATCCCCAGGTTTCCTTTCCATCCTTTGTAACTCAAGTGAGGACATGTGTAAGAAAGGAGGGTGCCATATAATAATAAATGTCTTAAAGTTTGTGTCTATTTGGGAATCATCTCTGGTTTTCACTTTGAAAACTCTCTCTCGGTATAACAAGGAAGATGTTGACCTTACAGCTGGGACAGGATTAGAACAATCAGAGTATTAGTCCGGGTTCTCTAAAGAAACAGAATCAAGAGGAGATTATATATATATTATATCCTGTTGAGATAGAAAGGGAGAGATGAGAGAGAGAAAGGGAGACTTATTTATTTGTATTAAGGACCTGGCTCATGGGATTATGGGGACTGATGGGTCCAAAATCTTCTGGGCAGGCCAATACACTGGAGATTCAGATAAGAATTGATGTTGCAGCCTTGAGTCTAAAATCTTTGGGCCAGCAAGCTGGAAGCTCAGGCAGGGTTTCTGGGTCTCAATCTTGAGGCAACTGCCTCTTCTATAAGAAGCCTCAGTCTTTTCTCTGAGGGCCCCCAACTGCCGGGTCAAAGCCTACCACATCATGGAGGAGCTGAAACACTTTACACAAAGTTAAAAAAAAAACCCTTCTTGGCATCTAGACCAGTGTTTGACCAAATAACTGGGCACCATGGCTTAGCCAAGTAGATAAATAAAATGAACCATGGCAGCCAGTGAGCTTGACCAGTGACTGGTTCCCCACCATGTCCTCAGGGCACACTCTGTAGCAAGGTATGGCCAACATTAGGCCTTTCAGGACTCGGGGGTGGTGTGTCTTTTCCACTGTGATTTGATGTATTAAGTACCTACATGATCTGCAGCAGTTTTTCAGGGACTTTTGCTTCTCCACTGGCCTAATGGATCTAAAGTAGGAGCTGGCAAACACTTCCAGAAAGGTCTGGATAGTAAATATTTTCATACTTGTAGACCACATTGCTTCTCTGTCCTCTACTCAAGCAAAAGCAGCCATAGGCAATCTGAAATGAATGGTGTGGCTGTATGTCAACAAAACTTTATTTATACAAAGCAGGCAGAGGGCCTGATTTAGTCCACAGGTACGGGAAGACTTTGGGATGTTATCAGACCTTTTCCCTCTGCCAAGCCTGGCAAAAGGGGTGGATAAGCTACATCTGGGTTAGGATGCTTTCTGTTGTGAGGAATAAAAAACCCAAACAAAGTGGGCTTTATTACCTTACATAATAAAAAGCCCCAGGGTTGGGGAAATCAACTCTCAGAGATGTCTTCAAAGACTCAGGTTCTTTCCATATCTGCACTCTGTTGTCCTTAGCATGATGGTTTGGTTTTGCTTGATATTTGCTGGTGGTTTGTATGTTTCCTGGCAGATGTGACCACATTCAGTGGGAGAAGAGAAAGGATGCACCTCTCTGAGGATCATTTTAGTAACAAGAAACCTTTTCTGCACCAGGCTACCTCTGTTCACTTCTCATTGGCCAGAATGGGATGTGGCATGCTGCTGAGGGTGGATCCTCGCACAAAGCGGAGGAAGGCAGATTAGCTGTGAAAAGTCAGGCCACTGGGATGAAGCCCAGAAATGCTCATCTACAGGCCCATCTAACTGCAGTCTGCAGATGAGGGGTTCCATTTCAAGGGGACAGAGCTGCTGCCTTGTGATGAGTGAGCAGGGTTTGAAAGAGGAGAAGAAGGACCAGGCTGGAGAGATGTTCAGGAGAGCAGCTTCTCTGTAGGAGGGGTGGAGGCTCTGGTAAGTGGGAGAGGACCTTGACTAGAGAAGAGTAGGGTGACCATAGGCACAGGGAGCCACCCAAGTCAGAGAAGTGGGAACTGAAAATGCTGGAGGACAAATGAGAGCTCCTGGGACCTGAGACCAGAAAAGTCCCCACCAGCCCCTGAGGGGGAGGTGAGGGCGTGCTTAGCCAGCAGCTCGGTGGTTTTGGGAGCAAGGGGCCTTGGGGAGGCTGTGCTGGCTGGGCTCTCTCTGCTGACCTTTATAAACTCTAGGGCTGGAATGCAGCAAGCAGGGTCCCCTGGAAGGAAGCTGGAGAGATGGCATTTATGCTGTGCCCTTGAGTGTCGAAGTGAAGTCTGCTTAGCCACTTCTTACTTGCATGGAGCCGGAGAGACCCTGCTGAGGCTGGAATCATTGTCCTGCGCTTGGAGGCAAGCCATGTGGGAGGGCTGGCCACAGCTCCTAGGCTCTGCTGGGTCCACCAACCATCTAGGAAAACCCAAAAGGTGCCAGGCCCCTGGCAGTGTGAGCAACACAATGTTGATGTGCTGAGGGCAGAAGACCTGTCAGGTACTCTCCTTTTTTTTTTTTTGAAGCTATTAAACCATTTATTGGTTATGCATGATAATGGCTGATACATAGCTTCAGTCCCATCTTTATCTGGCATCATAATTCAATTCAGATATATTATCTGAATTATCTTTATCTGAATTATCTGGCTTCATCTTTATCTGAATCATCTTTATCTGAATTATCTGGCTTCAGCCCATAACTTTATCTGGCATCATAATTCAATTCAGATATATTGCGTAGGATGTGCCAATAATCATGTCGACAACCAAAAGACCCCTGACTTCACTTGGGTGACCCTTTTGATAGTGTAGCTCCAGGCTGCAGCACAGTGACATCAGCTCAACTACACCAAGGTTCCTAAAGACAACCCCTCTGCCCCCACCAGCAGGTTGTAAATGATCTCAAATGGAACCTGACATCATCCTGACGGAATTCCAACTTCACGCCTTTGGGGCAGTTTACCAGGATGGCCTCAGAGTAGACTAACTGTTGGGGTGGGATGCTTAGTGCTTAGAACAGTAACCGTGCCTGGGCATACAAACACAAGGGCAAAATAGGAGGCCAGTCATGACCCAAGTGGGAAGCTGGTCGTCTGCCTTGCTCCACCTGAGCTAGTTCTCCTCATTCTCATTTTCTTTATTCCTCCCTGTCCCTTTCCTCCTCTCTTCTACCCTAAGAAAAATTAGAGTTTCAGATGACTTAGTTGAAAGGGACCTTAGAGTCATCTGATCAGCGCCCTTCTCATTCAGATGAGGGAAGAGAAGCCCAGAGGAAGGGGCATAGTCAAGGAGATGCGCCCTGAGGTCTGTGGCCAGTCTGAGATTTTGGTCTCCTGGCGGCATTGAGAATCCAGCTGTAGCACCTGGAATGCATCCTGGTTCTACTGTATCTTAGCTTCACAGCAGGGTGCATGTTTCTAAGTCCTCCATGCCAGGGATTCCCGTCTACAGTTGATCATAATCAGCCTGATTTATAAGTGGTGGGATTAAGGGCGTGGAGCCTGTGGACGGCCTGGCACATGCTCAGTCTTGACGGTCAGTGCTCATTGTCACTGTGGTCGATGCTCCTGTCTGCCTTATACTCTTACTGCCACAGAGACATCTTCTTTTGTTATGCATGGAAAATGTATCTGTTGGCTTCACACTCTGGCAGACTTGTCCCAGGATAGACAATTACGTAGCTGATAACATTCTAGTCCTCAACAAAGATCCACCTTCCTAGATTTCCCTCTGAATCCACCTCTTAAGGCACGTTGTTTGCAATTTTTTTGTAAACGTCTCTGCATCTTTATCTCTGCATCATGTCAGCGACACTCAGTGACCATCTTTGAGCTCAGTGTGCCCAACTCACTCCTTCAGCCCAGCTTCTTGCATGGCACCTAGACCACCAGTGGGCACTTAATATTTGTTGAGGTAAATTAACTCTTGTCCCTAGTAACCAATGTTACTAGGGTTTATACTAGTGCTGCTGGTTTAAAAGAAAGGGACTTGCTGTTTCCCTGTGGAAAGAAAAACTCAAGACTTGGGGCCTGCAAACCTCTCACGGAGGTTCCTGGGAACTGGAAACTGGAAACTGAAATGATGGAGGGCTGGTGGCACCTTCCCCCCCATCTGCGGCCATTCACAGCCTCAGACAGAAGCAACTGTTTAGGAACAAATGAGTCATCCATTCATCATCCATTCATTTAGTCATTGTCTTCTCTTTAAAGGGAAATTGCTTTGAGATGGACAGAGGCTTTCAACATCCATTAGGAGGTAAATATTCCATTGGGTGGGCTCTTGTACCTGCCCCAGTATATTCCTAACATACTTTTCCAGTTTTAATGCTCTACACTTTTCTAGACCACTTTACTAAGAGACTGTGCAAATTCCCCCAAAGCTTAAGCTGCAAAAAAATTACACAGCCTATCTTTAGGTGCAGTGGTGCATTCTCCTTGGGCCTGCTCTGAAGTCTGGGCAAATGCTCCTGTTAGTATGCACAGCTGGGTGTCTCTCCCTGAGGCCTGGAGCTGACAGCACCTGGAGAGATAGCCTCCTTCCCTCAAGTTGTGTTTGAGGGATGACCCAAAGTCCAGAATCTCAGCAGAGCCGAGGGGAACTGCACTAGGCCTCCTGGAGGCTTCTCTCTATGAAGCTGTTTTCAACCTTGTCATAATGTGAAACTTGGGGCATAATAATTGACTTACCTGAAACTTGGCTTCTCTGAATTCCATTTCTATTCTGTGCAAAGGTCTTAACTTATCAGTTCCTCCTTCTTCTTGTAACAGTGAAAGACAACAGCCAGGCAGATCCCATGGGAGTAGCCCCTAGCCAGCCAGCCAATGGGGAGAGTCCTGTTTGTTTCCTAAAAGCATTAGATTTTCTCCTCTCTACAGGTGATCCTAGGGCTTTGAGAGGAAGACACAGGCTAAATGACTGATCAGTTTATGGAGCAAGCTGAAAATTTTGCCCAGGCAGGGGATGAAGCAAGAAGCTTTGGACATAGCAAAGAATACTTTTCTTTTGAGAGGTTAGTAGCATGTGGGTCCAGGTAGAACCCCAGGAAAAGGGGCTCAAGTTTGTTCCTAGGACAGATATGCCACTGGCAAGGTATTGGCTCCAGGCTGAGCTGAAAGGAGCAGGCGGGACTTGTCAAGAGTAATATGCAGCCTACAGAGAAAGCTGCATCCCAGCAGAGCTGACCAAGGAGGGAGCAACAGATCCCAGAATGGCTGTAGGCACCCATGTTCCAGGAAAGGAGCATTTAAGGATCAGGAGGACCAGGGGGGCTGATGTTTCCTGAGTGCCTGTCAGCTACTAGTCAATTCTT